TTTTGAGGGCGAACAATAGAGCAGAGTTATGGCTGCGGAGAGAGAGCGGTGTCCACGGAGGCTATATATTACTGCACTGGCTGTAATACGCATGAGGTAAGCTAATCTTTTCGGCCATTATCTGCACACTTTTTTTTTTTTTTTTTTTTTAATCAGAAAAACACCAATAACCTTAATTTTTAAACAAAATGTTTAGCTGCTGCTATATTGGTGCATCGCTAATAGGCAGTTGAGCAACTAACCCCCCTGCAGTGCTTTCCACTGCAAGGATTTTAATGCATCCTGTTGAGCTGACAGGTGGCACAGCCTGTCAGAATCGCCCATTCAAGTCAGTAGGGCTGTTCTTTAACCGTGTGTGAAATGCTTGGCTTGTGGCATGTTGGTTGCATCAACGATTACCATTCGGCAAAAAGAGGCATGCAGGAGGTGAAAGCTGGCCTGGACGTGGCTGCTTAGGCCCCTCTGAAAGATGCGGATCGCTTTTCACAGAATGCTAAAGTCACGCTTTGGCTATCTGTTCTTCTGCTATATGTATGGGTGCTCCGCAGTGACACTTGTTCTGGGTGCAGTTCTCAATATCTGTTCTTATTATGGATGTATGAATACAGCCTAGTGCTCTTTCTCCTGTCTTGTATGCTGGGTGTAGTCCTCCGTATCTATTCATATTACATGTGTGTGGATGCTGCTCTTTAGCACTGCACAACATCTTATGTCTGCTTTTATTGTTTGCATTCACAAGACCCTATTTTACTGTGCGTGTTGTAAGAACATACTTGCTCATTGCCTCAGTGCTTCCACAGGTCTAGCAAAGGCAATATCTGAATATGGTAAGGGTTTTTGTACGGTCTAGCTCAGATTCTGTGTTTTTAACATGCACAGTCAGTGGAGTGGTGTAGTGGTTAGTACGTCTGCCTGGCAGCACTGGGGTCATTGGTTTGAATCCCAACCATGACATTACCATGCATGTTCTCCTTATGCTTGCATGGGTTTCATCCAGGTACTCCAGTTTTCCTCCCACTCTGAAGATTGTGGTAGGTTAATTGGCTCCTCTCTATATTGGCCCTAGTATGTGTATGTTTTGAATGTGAGTTAGGGACCTTAGACTGTAAGCTTCTTGACAGGGAAAATGTATATGTAAAACACTGTGTAAATTGTCAGTGCTATACAAATGCTACATTATTATTATTATTATTATTTATTATTATTATTATTATTATTATACAGGATTTATATAGTGCCGACACTACAGAAGCCGGGAAGACAGCGCGCCGCTGGATAGAGGAACAGGTAAGGTCAAAGAACAACTCCGTGGAAGTGAGAGCGGGTACCTGTCAAATTTAGGTGCCCGCTCCCCCACCTCCCCAAAGGTCAGCAGTCATCTCCATAAGGTCCCGCTGCAGAGCTGAGCGGCCGGCCCGGTATTCTGACGCGGCGGTGGAAATACCGGACCGGCCGCTCCATATTCGCTCCATAAGATGCACTAACATTTTCCCCCCTTTTTGGGGGGGAAAAAAGTGCGTCTTATGGAGCGAAAAATACGGTAATTGAATTCTGGGCAGAAATTAAAATATAAGCAAAAATGAATGGTTACATATACAAGAATAATAAAAAATAAATGAAATAACTGTGTGGGGCAGCTCTGGAGTTGAGTATTGTAGCAAAAGCTGCTTTATTATTTTTACTATTGCTGGGCTGTTCATTTTATTTAACTTGGTCTGCTTTAAACTGGTTCTAAAGGCTGAAGGATTTTTTCCTTAATGCATTCTCTGCATTAAAGTGTTACTAAAACCAGAACAGTAACAATCTATGCAGTAAAGCATGCTTGTTATACTCATTTATAACGGGAGCAAGCCCGTATGTGTGCCTCCATAGCAAGCAGCTCGACTTGGGGGGGGGGGGGGGGGGGGGGATGGTTGGGGGAGATGGAGGGCAAGTTGGAGCAGCCAGGAGCATCAGCGGAGGAACCAAGAAGTGGAGGATAGGGGCTACTCTGTGAAGAGCCATTGCACAGAGCAAGTAAGCATGGCATGTTTGTTATTTTAAAAAAATATGGCTTTACAATTGCTTACAGACTCCCTTTTCCCCCCCCCACTACAGGATAATGTAGAGCGTGCGGATGCTTCCCAGCTCAGCCTTGAAGAATTTATTGAACGCTTTGAGAAACCTTACAAGCCAGTAGTCCTCACCAATGCTCAGCTTGGTTGGCCAGCACAGGAGAAATGGACGCTGGAAAGGCTGAAGCGAAAGTATCGCAATCAGAAGTTCAAGTGTGGAGAGGATAATGATGGATATTCTGTGAAGATGAAAATGAAATATTACATTGAGTACATGGAGGGGACCCGGGATGACAGCCCACTGTACATCTTTGACAGCAGTTATGGAGAACATCCCAAGAGAAAAAAATTACTGGATGACTATGAAGTGCCAAAATATTTTACGGATGACCTCTTCCAGTACGCAGGCGAGAAACGCAGACCGCCATACAGGTACATTGAGATTAGGTTTTGTTTATCTTCTAAATGGTGCAAGGAGTTATAAGTTACAAAACCCATTGATGTTGCTGCAAGTTATAAAAATGAAATTCACCAGAAAAGTAATTTGTAACATATGTAGGGCCAGCTCTGGGTTCCACCCTCCTCCGAGGGCCACCCAATATATAGGAGTTGTTAATATATATATATCGAGCACAGCTCGAGAGGAGAGCCGGTAATCGGCTTTCCGTGGAGGGGACATGTACACTGATCATCGGGGCACTGATGATCAGTGTGCCCTGATGATCAGTGTAGCCCCAGCAGTGCCTTGTGTCAGTGCTCATCAGTGCCACATATCAGTGCCTGCCAGTGCACATCAATGCCACATATCACTGCCCATCTGAGCTACCTTTCAGTGCAACCTATCAGTGCTGCCAATCAGTGCCAGTCAGTGCTGCCTATCAGTGTGCATCAGTGCTGCCTATCAGTGCCCGTCAGTGATGCCTGTCAATGCCCATTCAGTGCCACCTACCAGTGCCTCCTCATCAGTGCCCATCAGTGCAGCCTCATTAGCGCACATCAGCGAAGGAGAAAAATCACTTATTTACAAAATTTTATAACAAAAAACTAAGAAAAAACATTTTTTTTTTCTAAATGTTCTGTGGTTTTTGGTTTGTTTAAGAAAAAATAAAAAAACCCAGAGGTGATTAAATACCACCAAAAGAAAGCTCTATCTGTCACAAAAAAATTATAAAAATTTCATATGGGTACAATGTTGTATGACCATGCAATTTTCATTCAAAGTGCGACAGCGCTGAAAGCTGGAAATTGGCCTGGGCAGGAAGGGGGTATAAGTGCCCTGTAGGCTTGTGGTTAAAGACTGGTCATGTGACACTCTTGTGGAAGATCCTCAATGCAGAGTGGTGCTGATGTTGGCACATATCTGAATACTTACACAAGTGCAGGATGCTGTGGTGATGTCCTGTATACTTAGTGTTTCCTTTGGGTTAAAATTATATCCAATGTGCATTCCACCTGGAAGACATCTTGCGGAAAAAAGAACGGGACAGCGCCAGAGAGGTGAAAATTGCAGCTAGAGCTGCACTTTCTTTTCTGAAAATTCAAACCAACTTTGTAAGCCTGCTAATAAATCCTAAGGCCCAATTTTCACTTTACCAATTCGCTTGTGTTTTGGAAAGAATCTAAACCAGATGCAGCAAGGTATAAGGGTCTGTACTTCTGTTCAATGCCACTGTTTTCTGTAGGCTGTAGAGGTTTCTCTCCAGCTATCAGAAAATGTATATTTAATGGTCCTCGATGGCCCAACATGCAGAATACTTACAAGCCAAAGCAGAGATGGGAAAGCGAAACTCCAACCAAAAGTAAAAAATTAAACTACCAATTTAACCACTTTCCAATGCGTGGGATGATGCTACAGGTACAGGCATCATTCTGATATCTTTCTTTTCAGCCAGCGATTCCCTCTTTTGTAAAAGTCGTCCTAGTGTCTGATTAGCTGCTGAATTGATTTTACAGGCAGTGGGAGGTAGGGAGTTTGCACCAGGGGCGGACTGACCATTTGGAAACTCGGGCACTGCCCAGGGTCAGTAGGGGGCCCCATGAGATGCCCCTGGTACCTTTTTTTCATAGGCTTTTTTTGAGTTTGGTCAAGGATACAGGGGCCCCATGATCCCCTATTGCCCAGGGACCCCATGAGTTGTCAGTCCGCCCCTGGTTTGCACCCACATATGTAAACTGTTTTGGCACCACACGTGAGGTATTGCCTCAAACATTATAGCGAGAGTAAGAAGTCTAGTGCTAGAACTCCTCTGTAACTCTAAACTGCTAACCTGTAAAAAAAAATTATTAAAGCACCACCTATGGATATTAAGTACCGTAGTTTGGTGCCATTCCACGAGTGTGGTAATGGCTAGTGTGGAAATTAAAATTTTAAAGCGTGACTTGTTGGGTATCTCCTTACTTGGTGGAACATCATCTGGATTATATATTGTGTATGTATAACAAAAAATGCAACACTCACCATTTTATTCTCTAGGGCCTCTGCTTAAAAAAAAAAAAAAAGTGTATGTGTGTATAATATATATATATATAATATATATATATATATATATATATATATATAGTATGTATATATGTGTATATACAGTGAAGGAATATAAGTATTTGATCAGTGAAGGAAATAAGTATTTGATCCCCTGCTGATTTTGAATGTTTGCACATGAACATGAAAATCAGTGCATAATTTGTTAGACATGCATTTCTTTTGATTTTTTTTGTTGCTATTCTGTCTCTCAGTGTTACAATACACCTACCATTCGATTTTTTAGACTGATCATTTCTTTGTCAGTGGGCAAACATTCAATATCAGCAGGGGATCAAATACTTATTTCCTTCACTGTGTGTGTATTTAGGTATATTGCTAAAAGTATTGCAGTGATGCCTGCGTTTTACACGCACATGAACTTTACTGGCATCCCAGTCTTAATCCGTAGGGTTCAATATTGAGTTTGCTTTACACCACTGCATCCGCCGCTTTGCATTGCACTTGGTGATGTAAGGGTTAAATGCAGCTGCTCTGCCATGGAAACCCATTCTATGAAGCTCTCTACGCACTGTTGTGCTAATCTGAAGGCCAAAGTTTGGAGGGCTTTTGCTATTGACTCTGCAGACTGTTGGCGACTTCTGTGCGTTTCAGCATGCGCTGACCCCGCTCTGTCATTTTACATGGCCTACCACTTTGTAGCTGAGTTGTTGTTTCCAGTTGCTTCCACTTTGTTACAATACCACTAACAATTGACCGTGGAATATTTAGAGGCCAGGAAATGTCATGGATGGACTTATTGCATAGGTGGCAACCTATCACGGTACCATGTTTTGAAGTCACTGAGCTCCTGAGAGCGACCCATTTATTCACAAATGTTTGTAGAAGCAGTCTGCATGTCTAGGTGCTTGATTTTATACACTTGCGGCCATGGAGGTGATTGTAAGAACACCTGAATCCAGGGGTGTCACAGTACTTTTGTAGGAGAGAAATGTCGGCATTTGCTTGGTGTAGGCAAGTGGTTAAATTAAAAAAAAAAATAGTTTTTGCTGCAATTATCTTTCACTAGATGTCCTCACTCTTCCAGCTTGAATTATGACTAGTGTCATTCATCCCACTTCCTTTAAAATCTAGGCCAGTGGTGGTGAACCTATGGCACACGTGCCGCAGTGGGTACACAGAGCCCTCTCTGTTAGCACGCTAGCCAAGTTGTCCCAGCAGCTGAACATCAGATGGCACCAGGCGATGACGTCACGAGCCATGACTCGTCCGAGCTTTCACATGGCTGGTCAGTGTGCTGCCAGAGAAAATATATATTTGCTTGGACTGGCTGTGATTTTAGCAGAAGCCTCCACAAGGTAGGAAATGCACTCAGATGCCCAAAAGCTGGTGGGCAGTGAAACATTGCCTCCTCTGCACTGGTGGTCAGTGGAACCTTTGCCTCCTCTGCGCTGGTGGTCAGTGGAACCTTTGCCCCCTCTGCCCTGGTGGTCAGTGGAACCTTTGCCCCCTCTGCCCTGGTGGTCAGTGGAACCTTTGCCTCCTCTGCGCTGGTGGTCAGTGGAACCTTTGCCCCCTCTGCCCTGGTGGTCAGTGGAACCTTTGCCCCCTCTGCCCTGGTGGTCAGTGGAACCTTTGCCCCCTGCCCTCTGGCCTGGTGGCCAGTGGAACCTTTGCCCCCTCTGCCCTGGTGGCCAGTGGAACCTTTGCCCCCTCTGCCCTGGTGGTCAATGGAACCTTTGCCCCCTCTGCCCTGGTGGTCAGTGGAACCTTTGCCCCCTCTGCGCTGGTGGTCAGTGGAACCTTTGCCCCCTCTGTCCTGGTGGTCAGTGGAACCTTTGCCCCCTCTGCCCTGGTGGTCAGTGGAAATGTTAAAAAGCTCAGTTTTATTGTGTTTTTTTTTTTTAAGACAAAAGATTGTAATGTATGAGTTGTTTTTCTAAACTAAAACCGCAGTATTCAGGTTTAATTGCATGTATTCCAGTGGCCCTAGTTCACACCAGTGCACTTAGTTCCAGTCAGTTTCCTGTGCAGGAAAAAAGTAGAACGTGCTGCATTTTTTTCTGCACAGAACTATACTGGAACATGGCAAACTGCATCAAACCTAGAACAGAAGGGAGTGTGGTGTGAACTGTAAACAAAAATGCTTCCATAACACATCTGGAGTGTGTTTGCTTTTGCGGTGTGAACTGGCCCTTAGGCTAAAAATGATCAGAATGAAAGTTGTACTGTCACCTATAAAGGTCCAAAACATCCTAGCAGCAAAATCCAATATGACCATTTCTATGTACCCAAAACTTTTGGGCTCAGCTCATGTTTCATACTGCTATGTCTTAGTGATATGAATTAAAGAAATAATGAAAATTGTATGCTGTCAATGAAAAGCAACTGGATTCAACAGTTTGTGAAGGAATTTAAACAGTGAATAAGTGGAGCAGATTAGTTTCTATAAACTATTGTTTTTTTTTAAAATACTTTTTAAAAAAGACCCAGTGCCATTTAGGAGAGAGGATGACTCTTGGTACATTATTGTACATAACAAATGTGATATTCTGATCTGCCTCCTGGGTTATAGAACCATGTGTTTTGAGATGTCAAATAAATTGACATCTATTTCAGGCCAAAACCGATTAAATAAGGCTGTTATTATTTAATAGCTCCTAATTTCAGTATCTACCTCTGGTGTAGGCTAACCATTATCAGCAAGAAATATTTTGCAAACTTCAGGTTATAAGGGGTTTGCTGCACACTGGATAGTTCCACACGTCTCTACACTGCAGTGCAATGTACCAGATTAAGGCTAGGTTCACATCTGTGCGAGTGGTGCCGCTGCGGATCCGTGCAGCCGCACCAGCCACACAGAAGAATGCGGACCCGCGAGCGGGTGCCATTAGTTCTAATGGCACGCCGCCCACACTCAAAACCGCAACCATACTGGGAACCGAGGTTCCCTTGCGGGCTGCATTTTCAGAAGTGCAGGGACTTCTTCCCTGCGTATCTCGGGGCACGGGAGTCCATTCAAATTAATGGGCTCTCCTGTCCGCGTAAAACGCGTCCCGCAGGAACGCGGATATGTGCATCCGGGGTAAGGGGTAGATTTACTGAAACTGGAGAGTGCAAAATCTGGTGCAGCTCTGCATAGAAAGAAACCAATTGGCTTGCACATGATGCACTGTACTGAGACTTGGAATTGTTGTGGAACATTTCATTTGTCTAATGGCTCTATTTAAGTCCTAATGTACCTGTGTTTTTGAAGTCTTATTTTGTTTTGTTTTTTTTGGGTTTTTTTCTAACTATAATTTTCTTTTGCATAAAAAAAAAACGAGTTTTCCTTGTTTTAGTATTTAGGGGATAGAAGTTAAGTTGTACTTACGGTGTAATAATTTACAAGTAAATGATTTTTGCTTTGGTTTTTTTTCTTCACTATCCCATTGTATAGCATACCTGTGGCAAAAAAAAATCACTGCACTGTGAAATGACTTTAATGTCTAATCTTCTTATGTTTTGTGTCAGGTGGTTTGTGATGGGTCCCCCGCGCTCTGGAACAGGAATACATATTGATCCTCTAGGAACTAGTGCCTGGAATGCCCTGGTCCATGGCCACAAACGCTGGTGCCTCAAAGTAACACGGGAAGAAGGTGGAAACCAGCAAGATGAAGCCATCACTTGGTTTAATGTCATATACCCACGCACATTGCTTCCAACGTGGCCTGCTGAATTCAAACCTTTAGAGATCTTACAGAATCCTGGAGAGACTGTGTTTGTGCCAGGTAAATGCTTCTATCCTCAAATAATGCACAATTGTGTGGTAGAAATGTGAACACTGTGGGTCAGAATAGGGTAACTATAAATGTACATTCTCATTGGTGCATTAAATTGTACGTAGGGAATTTGGGAGTGCACCACAGCACCTACACTGAGGTCTAAAGGGCTCTCTCCTGCAAACAGGTAGGAGTGTAAATGTGACCACACACACCACACACAAAAACACACAGACGACCTATTTTATTATATATTGTTTGTTACTGTTTTCTTCAGGTGGTTGGTGGCATGTTGTTCTGAACTTGGACACCACTATTGCTATTACCCAAAACTTTGCCAGCTGCACCAACTTCCCTGTTGTTTGGCACAAGACAGTAAGAGGGCGCCCTAAACTTTCAAGAAAATGGTACAGGTAAGAGGAAGTTGTTCATTATTCACTAAAAGTTGAGAGATTTCCTATTACACTATATTTACAGCAAACCTTTGTCATTGCAAGTATACAAATTGTTTGCAAGATGGAAAGGAGGCACTTGTTCTTAACCTACAGAGTGCATGAGACCAAACATAGCTGGTTTGCTTTGTTTATAGTGAGCAGATTTAAGATAGTCACTCTATGGTCCACTCCTTACTTCTACCCCTTCTATCCATATTGGCCAGTGAGGCTACCAGTGGCATTTCATGATTCGGGGTTCATGATCATTTTGGATACGGCCAAGGAGATGGGGCATGTCACAGGTTATTCATGAATGCACTTTTTTCCTGTTTCCACAAGAAAGTATATCCACATATTTAGTCTAGCAGGGCAGCTCTGCAGGTTATCTGCATGTTCTTTGAGGACATCGCCTTGTGTCCTGGTGATAATGGCGCCCTATAGACACTGTAAATATCTGCATTGACACTGACATTATAATATGCATGCTTTTATTGAAAGCTATAGATTGACTGCTCCAATGAAAGGGAAGCTGTAGGCTGGAATACTCCCAAGTCTATTATGGATGCTTCTTTGTGTCCAAGACCCATTTAAAAAAAAAAAAAAAAAAAAAAAGTGCTTACATTTAGGTAATTAATGATGGCCACACATTCATCAATATGATAATTTACTCAATCATTTGTTGCAACTAAACTGCTTCCAAGCCAGTGACCCTCCAATCTATTTGGTGAAATCTTGACTGATTTTGTTGGCTATGGTTGCATTTGTCTTTATCAATTGATAAAGTATCTGTATGATCAGGAAACAGATCCGAATACCAAGTTAAAATTGTTTACATTTAATACCAAAAGATCCTATTTTCGATCCCAAAATGCAGAACAATACCATGCATGTTATATCATTCCATCTCCTAATTGATGATAAAACATTTCTTTTAACTCTCTATCGTACCTAGATCAATCACAAATCACTTTGTCCACGGCCACCATTAGCTGCTCTTGTTGAGTTTTGGGGCTGTGCAAGATAACTAAACAGTCCCCTCTAGTTCTCAGTATTTACCTTATCTTTATTTATAGTTTATTAGATTTAAAGCAGGAGTACATTTTTATGTCCGCCGCCAAAAAACACCAGAACTTTATTTTCATAGTTTGTCTGATTACTCATTAATAATCCAAAGATCTGTATTTTAGTGCCCAATTATGTTTTGTGCTGTAAGCCGCTCTCCCCATTGTTACTGAAGCTGGTGACAGCTTGTCTTGACACTTAGTTCCCTTATCCCTTCTTCCACCCTCCAATAACATAGAAAAAAATCAAACCTGCGCTTAGATTAATACACCATATACAAAATTTTAGAAAATCCTAAATAAAAATAAAAAAGCTGCTCGCATAAAAGGCAATATACAAATTTTAAACAGTCAAAAATGCAGCGCTAATCTATATCACAATAGATAATAAAAGTCCAAATAATCAAAAAAAGTTTGACTATATTGCACAAAGAGGAATTCGGCACAATCCACCGTCACCAAGGCACCCGAATGAATAAGCCCCTTACCGGACGTTCTGGCCGAAACACACCGGTCAATAAACGCAGCCCAACAGAGGGATCAGTAGTGCAGATGATGAAGTTGACAATCTTCCTCAGGATAAGATTCAATCTGACTTTCATAAGATCTTTAAAAGGCCTTAAAAAAAGACTCCCATCCAGTAATCAAATGAAGAATATGAAAAGAAGCCACTCAGTGTAGTATTTTGATATTAAAACAAACCAATTTATTACGAGTTCCACATACATAAATATAAATGGTTTCCAGCATTGAACAAAAAGTTTCCAACCAGAAAAATGGTCGTGGTTCCTCCAAAATGTGGTGATGTCACATGCCGAAGCTCCATCCAACGCGTTTCGTCATCCAGTTGACATCGTCAGGGGCGTAGCTAAATGGATGTGCCGATGTCTATATATAGTACATGGGGGAACCCTCCCATTAATTGGGATGCGTTCCACAAGGAGGCAGAAGCACCCGAATGGCAGGAAAAAGGAACGGACCACAACGAAGGGCCCGCCCATACTAGTTATGCTCCTTTAGCTGTATACAACAGGTTTCTGTGTCTATCTCCACTAACATAGGTAGCAAATCCCACACATGCGCGGACCAAAGTAAACCAAAGAAAAGCAGTATATCTCTTGCCTATGCCGAAGATGGTTGATAACGGCACCTTGGCATAGGAGCATTTCACATCTCTATGAGCCAACCTGCTGTGCATGCACTGATGATATAACCACAGACAATGACATTATTATTTCAGAAAGGGGAAGGTTCAGGAGTGTGGAATTTCTTCTTTTTTTTTTTTAAAACTTGCCGAAGGGACAAAATTGGGGTCCCAATCTACTTGTCCCTCATGGCAATCTACTTGCCCTGATAGAAGAAAAAAAAAATTTTTTTGCCAGGGTGGAAAGTATGAAGGGTTGACGTTTACTAGGCAGAGGTGCTTTTAGGAATGTCTGTGGCTTTTAAAAATGAAAGTGGCTTTATGGTGACTTACATTTTTAATGTTTTTAAAATAGTGCTGTTTATCTCCACTTCACCTCCCTACCTGTCTCCAACACTGCACCCAGGAACTAGCAAGTTGGGGAGAGACCTAGCAGTGTGACAAGCACCAATTTGGGTGCTCATAAGGAAAGGGGAATGTCTTTGGGTGCTCATAAGGAAAGGGGAAACTTTATTTCTTCAGGTTACCCTCGCACATGGAAGCCCTTGGGTGCTTCGTACAGGCACATGCTGAGCCGCCAAATCCAATTCAGGTGTCTGCTCCATTAAAGTTTACCTTTACAAAAATAAAAAAAAAATTTTTTTTTTTTTTGGTTAGGAGCATGGAAAGTATTGCATCCGCGATCAGCAGATTGTGGGTGTAATGTCAGTCTTGCAGACTATGCAGCTGTCTGCCTGTACCTCCTACGGGCAGGCAATTGAACACCGATAGGAAGCTCAATGAGCTACCTAGACTGCTCAGCTTGTAGTTTTCGCATTCACAGAACTCTGTGAGTGAATGATGCGGCTGGGCGGGCAGAGTCTGCACAGCTGTGCTTTTTTCAGATTCTGACAGCCAGCAAGGGGAGACAATCCCCCGCTAGCTGTGAAAATGGGAGATCATGGAAGAGCGGGGGGCCCGATTCCCCTGTAGCATGTTGCATGTTACACCCTGAATAAGGGTATAACATGTTAGAAAAGGTGAAGTTATCCTTTTTAGGGGCAAAAAAAAAAGTAAACCCTGCTGCTTGCCTGCAGCAGGGCTAAATGTAAAGTAAAGACACTAAATGAGAGCATTGATTCTGCATTACAAAAGTGAAAGCCAGCTGTGCCAAACACAGAATTAAGGGAGAAGGGTCATAAATGGACATGTGCATTCTAATCCTAAAGGCTGTACAGAAGGTACCTATGTTGGTGATCACAGATCAGACTACCATAGTATACAGTATTGGAGAGAAGTTAATACCAGCACACCATTCGTGTTCACTACACAACCACTGGGGGAGGACTGCTCTGGTCCTCAGAATGGGGCACCTGTGTTAGCACATTTTGTTGCTCGGTATGGCTGGGCACTATTGTACTTCATATGCCGGCACAGGACACCAGAGACTAGCGTGGACAGCCCTCGTCCTAAAATGAATAGCGGATGAGGGGATCAGATGTGACATCGCCCGATACAAGCAGAAATCTCTCCTATATTGGCTCCCACAGACAGCACACCTACCTAGCTGAAACACCCAGCAAGAGTGTAGGTGCTCCAGAGTGCAAAAAACACATGCCCGCCTTGGCTGAAAGGAAAGAGTTAAAATCCAACCAAAGCAAGTATATAAACCGGCTGTGCTACGTCGTTTTCTGCTGCATGGCCTTCAGGGCATGCAGTTTGGAGCTCTCCGATTGAGGCTAGGCAGTCTGCCGCCTGTCTTTGATGTCATCCCAGAGTGAAGGTATCTGTATGGAGCCCGGAATTCTAGAATAATTGTCCCAGGCAAGCAGCAAATAAAATCGTGGGGTGCCCAGAAAGGATCTGGAAGCCTTTTTTTGGGCGTTGCACATTGTGGCAGGCGTGCACCCAGAGATGGATGCGATTCAACCATTTTGGCTTCAACCTCCATCTTGGCAAGGGGTCAATCATCCTGACAAACATATTTGACCTCTCATTCTCCCCCTTCCTCTCTGTTCATACACATTGACATATGGCCTGTGTGGTAAGAAGTGTCAGAGGCTGGCCAGAGCCCAGCAGGAAGCCCAGAGCTATACACCTCTCTGAGCTGCGCGCCTGGCTGTCTTAAGAAAGCTGTGCAATATAGCACATCGTAAAAGATAACGCAAGCCGTCCCAGGAGTTCAAAGACATTCCAGAGAAGCACGAACCAGATAACACTTTTAAAATCCATTTTTCCCCTGTGTCTCATATCTTGGAATATGAGAGACTTACATAAAAACCAGGCATATCTTCAGATTGGCCACGAGGAGACAAACAGTTTGATAGGTCACTCTCCTTGGCTGGAATACATAGGAAAGCAGAAAAGTAGATCTCTTGAACCATTCAGTGTATAATTTCATATTTCATATCTAATCATTCCTCAGATGTGTCTGCATAATAATATACCCGCGGGTTGAATGTCACTTGTGCATAGGGAAAGTTATGAGCCAAAATATGAACTATAAGAGATTTTGGCTCTAGTTAGGCCTACGCTCAGACGATCCCTCCCTAAACGGGGCATTGGTCCTTGACTTCAGAGACACCCCCTGTTAGGGAACTACAAAATGGGTTGTCAGGCCTAAGAAAGGGAAGTTGAAGAATTCTCCCTTTTAACATCAGAACCACCTGGGGAGACCTATACCCTTTTGTTCTGAAACTTGATCTGCTAACCCAGGACTTTGGCAAGTACTTTAACCCTCTAACTTCTCTCTGTTATCTCTTAGCTGTGTGCTGTGTATATATGTTTGTGTGTGTATATATGTTACATCTTTTTTCTGTAAATATATTTATTGCACCTTTTTGACCTTAGTAATAAATCTTTCCTTCTGAAAGTGTTGAACTGTTTCTATAGCTCCTTTATTGTAATTTACAAATTCCTGCCTCTAAAAGAGCGCTACTGTGTTTGTTTAACCCTCTGTACAACCGGCCTGCGGTGACCGTGTTATACAGACGATTATCTCAACCATTCTAGTGTTATTGCTGATGTCGCCGAGTTTCCTCCTTCTCTGTACAAAAAGGAGGTGGTGGCAGTGTGAAGGGTTAATTGCGTAATTAACCTGACCCAGTAACAATCGCTCCCAGGCTGCCGGTACATCGATTGTGGTCCAATTAGCTGGAAAATCGTTGTGCAGGGTGCAGCTGGGCGTGGCATTGTTACGCACGTGACATCACGGTTTTAGATTGGCCAGTCCTTCAGTCACGAGTTTGGTGAGAAGGCCAGGGGTCTGACGCCGCGTTCGTCACACGCATCACGTGGTTTTGTTTGCGCAACCGCGATGCGGAAAAACATGCCGCAATCGCTGCAAAAATGCCCTGTGATGTCAGGTGCTATTTAAAATTAATGGCACCCGAACACAAGTTTGCGCATTTTCACACTTTCACAGTGTGTTTTCAAATCTCAACGATTCCGCCTGCAATTTGAAACGTCCTAGTCTGCATGGGAGCCTAAATGAATAACAAGTCTGTGGTTGATTCTACTTGCTGAAATCTAAAATAGTATGTTACTCCAAAATGTGAGATTCTTCAAATCCCTAAATATTTCCAGGTAACATGAATACTGATAAACTTTGCAATGGGAGAGGAGCTAAAACATTCAGTACTGCTATCCTTTTACTATACAGGGCGTCCCTAAAGGAAAATGCATATTTTCCATACATTTTTCAACAATTCATTTAATTGGAATATTAATCACTAACCTCTTCAATGTGATTTCCACCATTTGTGATGCAAAGATCCATGCGCTTTGCAAGATTCACATGCACCCAATGCTTTAACTCCACATTTCCGTCAATTTGAGCACATTCATTCATGATGCATTCCTTCAGATGATTTATATGTCATTTTCATTGAATATGCCTTCTCCTTAAAGCTGAGTTCCACCTAAAAAAAACCTTAAAAGTCAGCAGTTACAAAAACTGTAGCTGCTGACTTTTAAAATACAGACACTTACCTGTCCCTCGATCCAGCGGTGTCTTCACCATGGCTGGTTTCACCGGCCGTCCTCTCTCCCTGGCATCGGCATCTTCAGTGTGGGCCCCTGGCTGTGATAGCTTGTGGCTTCACAGCCGGGTGCCCACTGCGCATGTGTGAGAAGCGCTGCACTTTGTGAATGATCCTGTAGTCTTCTGGGACCTGTCGCGTGTCCCTAAAGAGTACAGGGAGGGAGGGGGGGTGGACAACTTCTCTCTAGGGTCACTATGTATATTGTGTATTAACCTCCCTAGGGTATGGTTATATAAGTATTTCTGTGCTGAAAGCGGCACATTTTTTTGCATGGAAATATGTATTTTTTTTTATTGTAGGCTGTAAATCGTTAGGAATAACTCACTGAAATCTGTCCGAACAAGAGTCTAGTAAACATTCCGGGTAGGATAAAACTTGAAACACAAAATCATAAATTATAATTTAATAAATGATCATAAAAATAATAATATAATAATAGTAAATTTAATTCAATAATATAATCAAACCAAAAACACTGAGATTTGAAATATAGCGTCAAGTTCGCAGATCGCTGAGCAAAGTCGCAAAATCGTTTTCAGTGTCTGATGACGAATTTCCCCACAAATCATCACTCAATTCTGCAAGTTGGTCTGATTTACTATCGCTGTTCTCTAGCTGGTCTAAAACCGCTTTTGACCTAAAGGGACGATTTTTGGACGTTTCTCAGTTTCCAGGCAGAAAGAATAGTCAAAATGCAGGCAGGGCACAGGACAAAGCACTCGGGACAAAATGTAGGTGAAATGGTTTGATACAGTAATATTTTACTATGTGTCAAATTAATTTATTAGAAAATGACAAAAATTTTAAATTTGCCGCCGTTCCGGCCCCTGTACGTCCTGACGCTCGCAGGGACCGGAACACGGAACTTGGATGCCAGCATCTGCCGGAGGAGATGGCAGGGGACGCATCGCGGAAGCGATGGACAAGGTAAGTGCTGCAGGGACTCCCTGAGCAACGCCGCATGGTAAGCCCGAGTGTAGCTCAGGGTTACCGCTTTTGGTGCTGAAACTTTACCCCGAGCTACACTCGGAAATACCGCCAGGGGGGTTAAGAGTATGAGGTTTTGAAAAAAAAGTTCTACTCACCTAGGTGGATGCAGCATTGATTCGATGCTGCATCTGTCCCCCCACCGGCTCTGTACAGATAATTCTCACTGCATAATAATGATAGAGCAGAAGATTTAATTTAGAAAACCACTGGAATCAGCCAGCCATTGCATCATGAGAGCTGAGTTTGTGTTTTTATTTGGACTTGCTGAAAACAAGAAGCAATGTGCAGGAGCAAACATTCAAATGCAACAGAGGCGTGTGGATGATTATTTCCACAAACCGTTAAATGTAGTTTTGAAATGTTATATTGTACAAATACTTTGTGCAATAATTGCTCAAATCCTCATCCCATAATACTGTTTTTCAATATAAAACCAGGTCTCCATTTATAGTCATTATGTAGGAAATTAACCTCTTGCTGACCACAGATAGCCGAATGATGGCTGCGCTGTGGCCGGCCAGTTCTGGGAGGCGTCCTATTACGTCTTCCCAGAAAGAGCTCTCCTGCACGCCCCCGGGGGCGCGCACCCAGCAATCTACATGTTTTCTGTGTCCTACGGACACAGCTGATCACGTGATATAGTAAACAGCCAATCACAGCGGCCTTTTACCACGTGATCAACCGTATCCAATGACGCACTGATCACTGGGAAATGCAATTGCCAGTTATCGGCTGCACTTTCCTCACGCTGTCACAGTGTAAGGAAAGCACTACTGAGAACTGGCAGTTGTCAGAGGAGGGATCGACACCGATCATCAGGGCACTGATGATCAGTGCCCTGACGATCGGTGCCCAGCAGTGCCACCCACCTGTGCCCATCAGTGCAGCCCAGCAGTGCTACCAGTCAGTGCCAGCTCAACAGTGCTGCCCGTCAGTGCCGCCTATCCGTGCCACCTATCAGTACAATCTCATCAATGCACATCAGTGAAGGAGAAAAATTACCTGTTTGCAAAATTTTATAATAGAAACAAAGAAAAACTTTTTTTTCCCAATATTTTGCTATTTTTTTTTTTTTATAGCACAAAAAATTAAACGCCCAGCTGCGAGTAAATACCACCAAAAGAAAGCTCTATTTGTGTGAAAAAATTTATAAAAATTTCATATGGGTACAGTGTTGCATGACCACACAATTGTCATTCAAAGTGCGACAGCGCTGAAAGATGAAGATTGACCTGGGCAGGAAGGGGGTATAAGTGCCCGGTAAGCAAGTGGTTAAAGGCTGCCCCCTAATAAATCTGGGTACATACACAATTATATACTGTATCCCTGGACTCCTGACTGGGATGGTTATTTATACATGATGTTACATTAAATGTATTATTGAATGTACAATATTCTAGCAGACTTAGAAGCTAGTCACTTGACCTTAGGTGCTTTAGCGGTGCTTTTGAGTCAAGTTTGAGGCTTAGTTTGCTTTTGTAGTTTCTTCAAACTGATTCTCGTTTTTATTGGGCTACTTTGAGTTTCTTCAGCAGTCTTCTGTTGGGCAGCACAGATGCCAACTAATGCCTTTTATATCTGAATCCTAATAAAAGCTTCCAGGCTGCATTTGTTCCTGGTACAGTCTTACTTTTTACCACTAGAGGGAACCTTCACCAGAGCAGCTGTGAGTAAGGACAGTTTTCTGCAGCTGATCGTTGTTGTATTTTACCCTGTTGGGACAGTTATGAGCGGGCCAGATCTTTTAGCCTTATGGCTGGAGTAGACCTATATATACAGTGCCTCCTTTATACGTGATGCGCGTTTCTTTCCCTGCACTGCTTGACTATGACGATTCCTGGGCACGTTTTCAGTATTTTTTCCAAATGTGAATAAACGGTGCTATTTTTTCCCTGTTCATTTATCTGTCCTTTTTGTTTTTACTAACTCACTTCTTCCTCTGAACTCTCACAGGATCTTGAAGCAGGAACGTCCTGAGCTGGCAGCTTTGGCCGATACTGTGGATTTGCAGGAATCAACAGGGATTGCATCTGACTCTTCAAGTGATTCCTCCAGTTCTTCTTCCTCAAGTTCTTCAGAATCTGGCTCTGAGGTGAGACTTGTGGAAAATCAATAAGAAATCTGCTCCCAGGGAGTTTGTATACCTCAGTATAGACAGATTCAGGATCATACTGTGTTCAGCTGCACAATGCTTGATTCCTTGTGTACGAAGCTCCCATTGCACGGTGTAGACTTACTGAAAGGGTAGTTGATGCTTCGAGCAAACTTCCATCAGAGGTAGTGATCCCAAAAAAAAAAAAAAAAACCCACAAAACATGTATTTTAACCACTAGCCTACAGGGCACTTATACCCCCTTGCTGCCCAGGCCAATTTCCAGCTTTCAGCGCGGTTGCACTTTGACAATTGCGTGGTCACGCAACACTGTACCCATATGAAATTTTTATCATTTTTTTGTGACAGAGCTTTATTTTGGTGGTATTTAATCACCTCTGGGTTTTTTATTTTTTCTTAAACCAAAAACCACTGAAAATTAAAAAAAAAAAAAAACTTGTTCTTTGTTTTTGTTATAAAATTGTGTAAATAAGTGATTTTTCTCCTTCACTGATGTGCGCTAATGAGGTTGCAGTGATGGACACTGATAGGTGGCACTGATGAGGAGGCACTGGTAGGTGGCACTGATGGGCATTGACAGGCATCACTGATGGGCACTGTGGGCAGCACTCATGGCACTGATGGGCACTGATAGGTGGCACTGATGGGTTGCACTGAAAGGCAGCTCAGATGGGCACTTATATGTGGCATTGATGTGCACTGGTAGGCACTGATATGTGGCACTGATGGGCACTGGCAGGTGGCATGGATGAGCACTGACAGCTGGCACTGATGGTCACTGACAGGTGGCACTGCTGGGGCTACACAGATCATCAGGGCACACTGATCATCAGTGCCCTGATGATCAGTGTACATGTCCCCTCTGAGGGATGCTGATTACCGGCTCTCCTCTCGTGAGGAGAGAAATGCTGATAACCGGCATTTCCCTATTTAAATGCGATCAGCTGTGATTGGACATAGCTGATCACATGACCGAGCCGACATAGGCTCTTTCTGTTGATCGGTGATCCGCTGTGTCCGAGGGACACAGTGCACCGCCATGCTCCCGGAGCCGCACATGCGCGGTTAGAATGGGAGGATATATGACGTCCTCCCAGAACAAGAGAACCGCCTTTTGCCCATCATTGTACTTTATGGCGGGCGGGAGGCGGTTAAACAGTTGTTATATATACATGGGTGTCTGGCTGTAGCTAAAAGAATATGTTGTACACATCTCAGTGGAGTGCCAATTTTAAATATGACATTTATTGCATTGTTTGACTGCCTTGGGTATATTTACAACCATGTCTTTCTGCATTCCATAAGTAACAGATGCAAGTAGAAGCAGGCTGCACACTTTAAACCTGCATTTTATACACTCTGGTATATAGCTTAGAGCGGATAGCAAGATCCAGAGTCTGTTTATAAATGGGGGTCCTTAGGTTAGCATTTTTTAAGAACCTGTGGCTGTTCCTATAGCTATATAAATGAAAAGGGGTAGGTGGTGTTTTTTTTGTTTGTATATTTTATTTTATTTTTATTTTTTTTAACTTCTAGCCACTTGTATTTTTAGGATTTTTTTTTTGTCAGTGAGCAGAGAGAGTGTTTGGATATAGGAAGGATGTATCACAATGACAGGCACTTCCAGCATTTTGATGCACGCACGGTACTCGCTACCCATGGTGATCAGACTACAACCAGATATTATTACACTCATGAGGACAGGGGCTACAAAAACAGCTTAGCCTTGACATCGGAAGTAATTGTGTGTGCTCGTTAGACCAAGAACACATGACATATTGCCCTGTCATGCTTTTTCTTAAGCAGTTTCACTTGTTAGGACATGATAATAGGCATTACTACTACTGACGTCCTTCGGGAGTCGGTTTCGGGCGATGGTTTAATATATTGTGACAGATCTCTAGTAAAGCCAAATCCTGCGGCTATAAAAGGCACTAAGTGCGAATAATGTGATTAACAATTTCTGCACACATGAGGTAGCCATAATATGTATTTCTTATATCGCAGCATCTTGTGTGCCACGGGATATATTTTATATAAGTAGATTGTATCCAGGCTGATTCACCTGATTTCATTTAAAAGCCATCCTCCATCCTGAGCGAGTTGCTGTGTTTTGCAGCACAGTATATAAAAGCCCATGTTTACATATTTGGATTTTAACTTGAAAACCTCACCTATAGTTCTGCTACAGTCATTGGGGGAGTTTCTGTAGGATTATATGGGGTATCACTGATGAATCAACATTTTATACTTCTACATTTTATGTTATAAATATGTGTGCTTTTAAATGCGGCAATTCTCCAACATGTGTTTAGGTAAAATGTGGCTATTAATTGGCAAAAATGTATTGTTTTGCCCATTCAGAGTCGCTTTAAAGCCACCCTCCTGCCCCCCCCCCCCCCCCCCCACTGTTGCATTAAAGCCCTTCCCCCATGATGCAGTGGTTAGGCCTAGTGGCTAGTCACCAGGCCCGAACATTGTTAAATTACAGTTAAATATCCAAATTAGGATTAGGACTGCAGAGAAGAAAGGAGTTATGGGGGAGCATAGGGAAGGTGAGTATCACTGAGTCAGGGGGTGGGCTTTAAAGTGAAACAAATGAGTTTGTGTGTACAAGTAAATTACCTTTTAATGATGGTGCTCCTATGTCTAGATAGCTGCTGTGTACAGTTATCTAGTTTCATTCATGCCAGTTACTACTATCAGCACAGCTATCCTACAGTGAAAAGATCCTGTCGATTTACCTTCCTTTCCTCTCCTTGCAAACAATACATACTTGGAATGGACAAAGAGAGATCCTGTAATTTACCCGCCTCTACATTTCCATTCTCCAATCACAGAATGTCTTGTATTCTGTAGACCAGCCTTTTTAAAAGCAGGGTGCCTTCAGGTTTTTTTTCAGGGGTGCCTTGACAATATGCCCAAAAATTTTATACAAGCTAGATGATGGATGAAGCCTGCCTTTTAGTTATAAGGTTTTCAGTGTACACCATTACAACCTTCAACCATCTGCATCCTAACAGCCATTCATGTCCCTGATTGATGAGGAAGATGTCAAGTGCCTGGACAGCATCCTTGTTTGCTCCTCTTCATCAGGACTGGGCTCACATTAGCTGAGTGAGGGAGAGGAACTGAGGGGTATGAGAAACTCAGTACAGGTGGTTCTTTGGAAGAATAATTCCTCGAACATTGGATGTCCTATGTGTTTGGATGGTGCTGTTATGTAAAACTATTAGTTTAGTTGATTACTTTTTAGAATGGGGTGCCTTGAGATTGAGTTTTAAAGGGTGTCTTGAAAGCAAAAAGGTTGAAAAACACTGCTATAGACAGGCAGTTCGTGATTAAAGGGAGGGGTAAACAACAGGATCCCTTCACTGAGAGCTGAAACGCTGGAAGCTCGACAATGACCGTAGTATCCTACATGTATGAAACTAAGATTATTACCTTACATGGCAGTTATCCAGACCCGACCTAATAGAACAATCCTTACAAGAAATCTCTTTATACACAGCAACAGTCAGAAAATATATGTAGCCTAGTGAGGTCTGAAACTAAAAGGAAAACTGACAGGTAGGTCTTGTGCCCATACTGCCCCCCTCAAAGTGGCCTGTGTGATAGGAACATTCGAAAGTAAGCTCCTTCTGGGGGACAGGGACAGACGTGAATGGTTCTACCATTGTAACATTTCTGATATATAAATATGGGAAATAAATGGTAGATTGTTATAATCCACAAATGGTTTTCACTCTTCTTCACACAGGATGATTCAAGCTCTGGAGCAGAAACGATGGCCCACAGGAAAAAGAAGAGAAGAACATGCAGTGGGATGGGCAATGGAGACAGCACCACACAGGATGACTGTGTTAGCAAAGAACGCAGCTCATCCAGGTGATATTGACATCATGGTCTCCTAAATGGTGGGGAAGAGACAGTTCCTAAACTTACGGGGGAGTGCTATCAAGTCCAACTTACCTTTTTGCTGCTGCTGCTGGAATCTTTCAGAGAACGTACGGTGCCACCATTTTATATAAATGATGGAGACTTCAAGTTCACATTCTGGTTTTAGCCCAATTTTTCACATGGTCACTTTGAGAGGTTGAAATCCTGAAGAAATAGATAATGTGTTCCATTTTACAGTGTTTATGATGCAGAATTTCTTAAACTACAGTCTAAACCACATCTGCCTAATGAAAACAGTGCATGATGGTATGTGTGGCCTTCTTAAAGTGGAAATGAAGATCCTTTATATGACTGATAGAATGGTTAAAGCTGAAGTGACGACCACCACCAATTCTGCTGGTGTCTTCTCCTGTCCCAAAGACAGATGGTTTTTCTTGGAAGGAGAGTTTTTTTACTTTTTTTGGTGCAAACAATAAAACTTTTAATTTAGCTGCCTTTGAGGGAATACAACCCAAAATGGAGGGTAGAATGTTTTATGTTCAGCTCTGTTCATTGGTTGTAGATCATGCTGTTCCTCTTACTATTCTGTCTAACAGTTCATGTGTATAGAGGCTGGTGGGGCTCGCTATTACTCCTGCTTTCAAGTGACAGGTCTCTAGTAATCCCCAGACAATGGCTGTGAAAACTGTAAAAGTCCACTTTACATGCTTTCGCTTTCCATTCATTCAGCCTTCCTTCCTTTCCTGATTGAGTGTATTTATTTATTTATTCATTTTACTAGTTGACTTCAGCCAGTGGGGGGGGAAAAGTAGTTCTAATCAATTGGGAAAAGAGGTATGAAGTCAAACTTTTCAGTCTCTTTGACATCCAGTCTCAAGTTTTAACAGCTACTACCTCGCGATTTGATAGCGGTTATATAAAAATGGGAGCAATTAAGATCTTTCAACAGCCTCCATGCACATGTAGTGCTAATTGGCATGAGTCACTTTTAAAGGCCTAAGGGGGGGATTTTCTAAAGCTGGAGCACACACTCTGGTGCGGCTCTACATAGTAGCCAGTCAGCTTCCAGGTTGTATTGTCACAGCTTAAATGAACAAGCTGAAGTATACTGGATACTATGCACAGCTGCACCAGATTCTGCGTGCACAACTTTTAGGAAATCCCCTCATGGTGTATTAATGACATCTAAGGCCTGGTTCACACCTATGCTTTTTTTTAGTGCTTTTGGCATTTTGCAGAAATGCACTACAGTCCATTTAACATGGTTCCCTATGGGACATGTTCAAATATAGGTGTTTTTGGAAAGGGGGCAGGGACTTTTTTTCTGATTGGAACACGTATAGGTATGAACCAGGCCTAAAGGGTGTTGCATACCTTTTTAGTTTCACAGATTTTTGTTTTAAATTCATGCTAGAATAAAATACCTTTTGTTATAAAAGCAGAAACCTGCAGAAGGAAGCTTACAAAATGCAGTACATTGGTGGAAACCTGTCATAGGACAGGGCTAATGGGCCGCAACACCTCATGAAAACAATAGCTGTCTAGCAGTCATTCTATTTATTTCACTTCAATCATTTGTGAGTCACTGACCCCCGAACAAGTGTGCAGCAAGTTAAGTCACAGTGAGCTGGAACCCATGATTATATGGATCATTTTGGGTTGATGACTTGTGAAGTAGGAGACTGAGACAGCCGGGCATCCAGCATTTTAAGACAGCAGTGTCAGCCTACCTTTCTCTCATACCAGGTTTGCCTTTCATAATTACAATAGTATAACAGTTAAACATTTCTTCTATTTTCTGTTACATCATTTGGAAATTCATCTACAGAATGCCGTGTGCTTTATCAGTTGCCTTCCATCATAAATAATTTTGGTTATTGTGGATTAGTGCGCTTTGGACATCATTGCTGCTTTTTGTATTGCCTTATTAAACAAGCCCTGATGATGTTCTCAGTGTCATCCTCGTCCAGAAAATAGAAGGAACGATTTTTATCCATCTGAATGGTGCACTGTGGCACCTGTATGAATGCAAGTTCTTATATCTGACACTAGTGGGGGGGTTGGGTTTTTGCAACTGATGACACCTCATTACATAAAAAGGCAAAGCTATGTACAGTCCAACAATTCCACGCGTACCATTCTTCTCCAGCTTGGATGGTGATTGAAAATTACAATAACGGAGCAAGAATTGCTACATGCATTCTAGTATGAGCAAGGGAAGGGAATTGTTCATCACAAGTTAAATTGGAGCCAATAAGTTACCTGATTAATCAATAAACATTTGTTTTTATCAAAATATTCCTACTAATGACTGTAATTTATTTCTTCTTGGCAACCAGTTAGGTTCAGGGCTGCCTCAAAATTCAAACTCTTACTAGTAGCTGTGGGGAAGTGATGTTTTTAGTAAGAGGATGTTGATGCCTTACACACCTCTTTATTGCCCTTTCTTGTTCCTACATTTTACTATAATATATTGAAAGTTGGGATAACAGAATAGGTTGCAGAAAAGTCCAAGGGGTACATGGAAGAGGCTGTACATTTAATGACAAACATTCTAACAGGCCTTATTTAACCAGTTATACATATCCATCCTCTATATAGCAGGATAACCTTTCTCAGTCCAGACATTTCAGCTGACAGGTGCAGCTTTTTAATGAACTTGACTCCCCAAGAAATTAAGGAATTTAAATCTACTTCATAAGCAGACTACCAAAAAAAAAAACAAAAAAAAAATACTTTTTAATACGTTCAGATAATCTCAAGATATTTCGGGGCTGCCAAATAATTCCAGGTGAAAGAAATACAAGCTGTGGAAGTCTCCTTAAATTCTCGTTACACCAATGTATCTTATACTACAGTCTGTGATCACTGTTAATTTAAATATTCTTTACTCCTTTTAATTTGTATGTTTTTTTTAATGTTTTCTAACAAGAATAAAATGAATGGACTCATTGTAGGGATGTCTGTTTTCCTGAAATGTTTTTTTAACTTACAGCTGAAAATCACCATTTCATCCACTTCATTTAAGTGTGTATGTATAGCCAAATGTTTTCTGTATAAACTGGTGACCTGTAAGGGCTTTTAACGTGTCACCTATGGAAATTTTTATGTACCATAGTTTGCTGCTGTTCCACAAGCATATGTAGTTTTGAAGTGTGACATATTGGGTATCTGTTTACTTACATCATTTTAAATTTTACCAAAAAAATTGGGTATTGTGGTGTTTGTGTGTACTGAAATGCATTAAAGCAGTAGGAACACCCCCCCCCCCCCCAATAATGGGCCCCCTGCAGCTTTAGGTACTAATGTAACGGTATGCAACTCATACTAGTACACTATAACAGACTTACCTGTACACGGAGCCCTCCAGTGTTGTGCTTTCATAGCTCCCCAGCACCGCCATTTTCACCTGGTCTTCTTTCCAGGTTCATGGACTCTGGCAATACGAATGGCTGGAGCTCTGTAGGTCCAGCACGCTGTGCGGTCCCTTTAGAGCACATGCATCAGTGACCTAACCGGCTGCATGATGGGTGAATATCTCCTAAATGGTGTAAGTTTAGAGGCAAATTTGTCCTATTATTGTTGGCAACACACTTAATACCAAAGTCGCAATACAGTCATGGTTAAGGGTGAAAAGCCAGGGAAACGGTGCAGGTCATGTCCATAGCCTCATGCGACAGCCCGAAGGTCAACAGGCGACAGGTCTTGTTCCACCATAGAAGAAGCATTACTGAAGGGTCGAGGGAACCAGTCAACAGGGCGGCTTTGTAGTAAAGTTCGAAATCTGGCAAATCTACCCCACTTATCTGTGGAGTTTCCAGTAAGTAAGGAATTTGTGTTTCAGTCTGGAAAAATCGCGGTCCCAAATAAAACAGATTGATAGAGAATGTAACAAAAGGAAGAAATAGGGATCGTCTGGTAAACATAAAGCAGTTTGGGAAAAGTATCTATCTTAAGGGTATTAAGGTGTCCAAACCTAGTCAAGGAAAGAGGTCTACTCGTGCAAGACAATAGGGGGAGAGAATTATGCGAGTAAAGATCTGAGAGATAGGAAGGGATAAATCCGCCGAGGTAGGATATAGCTTTAGGTTGCCATTGGAATGAAGATGTTCAGAGCCTCAGTTTTTGAAATATTCATTTTAAAGTGACTGTATATTCCAAACCTATGGAATTCCAGAAGTAAACTAGGGAGTGAAATATGTGGTTGCTGTACATAAACCAAAAGGTCATCCACGCATAAAGAGAATTTGTGATGGGAAGAAAGGGTTTGGATACCAAACAATAGAATCGTTCCGTATAGCGTGCGTAAGGTGTTCCATAACCAAAATGAAAAGTAAAGGGGATAGAGGGCACCCCTGTCTGGTGCCATTCGATATGGGAAAGGGTGGAGAATATGTGCCATTCACGAGCTCCGACACTGTGGGATGGGAATAGAGGGACATAGCCTTGGTGATAAAACCGGGTCCCAAATCCACCTGTTCCAGGGTAAGGCGTAAAAATCTCAACTCAATCAAAAGCCTTCTCAGCATCAAACGAGAAGACATGCCTTCAAGTTGTGTTGCATGATATAGGAGATGAGATGAATTGTTTTGGTGGTGTTATCCTCTCTGCCCAGGACAAAGCCCACCTGATCTTTGTGCATTAAAGCAGGTAGAAGTGGGGACAAGCGATTTGTCATGAGTTTCGCAAACAAATTAATATCTAAATTATGTAGAGATATTGGACGGTAGCTACTGCACAGGAAAGGATCTTTATCCAGTTTAGAAAGAACAGATATTTGGTGGAAAGAAAAGCCTGGGATGGTTAAATGAGAATCATCGATGTTACAGGCCTTAGCTAAGAGGGGGGCCAGTAAGGGGGCAAAAGTTTTATAAACCCTAGGAAAAAACCCATCAGGGCTGGGGCACTTACCGGGTTTTAGACCTTTGATTGCACCTAGATCTTCAGGCATCGAAAAAGGTTCATCAAGGTCCAAGGAGTCCTGTGTATCGA